GTTTCCTTTACATTTGCACTATACTATTGACCTACATTATTTTAAATGTGCTTCATTAATGAGATGACAGTCAGAAGCAATAGATTGTTAAGTCTATACATACAAAAGGATAAAGGGCATGATCTGTTTAAACTCATTACCAGCAAGGGTGCATGTTTCTGCAGCATTCTCTGCTGTCTTCTCCCTTACTCATTTTAAACTCTCAACTGAAAAACATGATTCATTATAAATATAGTTTTAAGCTCTCACATTCCTGCCCTTTTTAACGTATCTATGCTATATAAATTAAAAATAGGACGTTAAGACATTAATTTAAATGGGAAAAGGTTTAATGACATTTTTAGTACTATGCTGTACAGCTGTTTCCTTGCCTCAAGGTTCTGGGTTTAATCTCCAGCATTGGGTCTGTAAGCATGTTGTAAACATCAGAGGTGGGTAAATAGTTACATTGGTGTAAAGCATATTTAGTTAGCCACTAAATGTTTAAGTTATCCTACTTAGAAATGATGAGAGATAGAGATAGATAGATGAGAGGTCAGAATTTTTCATCTGATCACTTCAACTATAAGAGAGACAGTCCAAGAAATCACATTGTAGGGGTTGTGAAGAATATATTGGTAATTTATGGTGCAAAATATGGGTTTGCTGAATAAAAAATATTCAGCTCAATATTTCGTAGCATACCGTATTTTCACGAGTACAAGGCGCATATAAACGTCTTTTTTCCCCTCAAAATGTCCGGCGCGCCCTTTAGTGCGGTGCGCCCTATGTGTGTTGTTACTGCGGACGTTGTTGAGACCACCATGAGAACGTTAAAGGGGGAAGTGTGGGCGTGGATTGGGAATAAAAGAACAGGTATGTGCTTTATGCAGAACTCCTCATCTCCTCATTGAGGAGATGATGAAAGAGTGGCTGAGGGAGGTGAATGTAAGGAGACCAGGTGGTTTTTTTCCTCTCATCACCATCGCTGTTAATCTGTGACTCCATGCGTGCCCATCTTACAGCCGATGTGAAAAACATGGTGAAACAAATGAACGCTGTGCTTGCTGTTACTCCGGGAGGTCTGACAAAGGAACTTCAACCACTCGACATCGGTGTGAACCGGCCGTTCAAAGTAATGCTACGTTCACGCATCCGCTGCTTCATTTTTGCTGCTTGTACCAGTTTAGTTCTGATGCGCGGCTGAAGCAGCTTTGCTGCTCTGGCTGCGCGGTGCAAAAGTGTGTCTGACGCGCGTTGGGCGGATCTACTCTATCCTTTCTTTGCCTTGCAGCTATATTTGCTGTGATCAGTTGGAAAAAAGTAGTTTTAATATGTTTTTAAGTGAGAAAGTCCACCTGAAAACTTAATCATTGCAGTCAGTTCATCCAGATTGCAATCCCACCTTCCAATATTATTTCTGTCGGAGCCGCTCAGACCCCCTCAATAGGATCCCATTCAACAGCAGCCTCTGGCTTGGTCGCCTCCTCGCGGTTCACCGCGGCAGCTGGTAGGTGTTTTTCATCTAAATAATCTAAACTGCAGGCACCAGGATAATAAAAGCGAACATATTCTGCTGGCAGATTTCTGCATTTTAAGTTAATTTATGCATCAATAAACTGTTTCAGAGGAGTGATCACAGCGCTCTGTGTCATCAGCGTTGTGTCTCTCACGGCCGGCTCCCAGGTTTGATTAATACTTTGTAATAAATACATAAATAAAGCACAAACATACTCAGTTTTGCTCCTGCTCTATTTTTAAATACGCAGTAGAGGTATTTAAACGTAGTAGAGGATATGTACCTGTATATAAAACCCGCACCCTATAGTCCGGTGTGCCTTATGTGTGTGTTAAATACAGTAATGGCACACATAACTGACACTGCGCCTTTTAGTACGGTGCGCCTTATGGTCGTGAAAATACGGTAAAATGTGTGGACAATGACAGAAGTCAAATGTTACCTGTAAACATTCATCCTGTTTACTAATACTGCTCTTGTATTTTGGCGTATTCCTCCGATCTCGATTAGTGATGTTTTTGGGGCTGTACATGGGAAACACTCCCTCTACCAATTTTCTATGGAGTCAAGGTCTGTACACTAGCTAGGCCCCTCCAGAACCTTGAAATGCTTTTTAAAAGGCCCATTCTTCAAGGAAGACCCAGCCACGTTCCAACAGCTGATATTTCTCTCCAGGATGGTGTCACAGGCAAACAGGAACAGACCAGGTGAAGCTACTATGAGAAAAAGCAGAGAGAGCCCAGTGTTACAGATTGAACTAACAAACACTGCAAAGTGGGAGAATAGAGATAGAAAGAAGGAGAATGATGAAAAGGGATCACTATGTCCTCCAGCAATCTAAGCCTATAGCAGCATAACTATAGAGATAGCTCAGGACAACCTTAGCCCTTCTAACTATAAGCTTTATCAAAAAAGAAAATTTTAAGCCTACCCTTAAAAGTAGTTTGGGTATCTGCCTCATGGACTAAAACGGGTAGTTGGTTCCACAGGAGAGGAGCCTGATAACTAAAAGATCTGCCTCCCATTCTACTTTGAACCTCTCGTTAACCTTCATTATTTCAAAACTGGTCTGTTCAGTTCACCGTTCACTGGAAATTTTTATGTATTCAGTAAACGCCGTTCATTGAACCTGTTCATGCACAACACTGTATGGTTCATTTACTGTACCACTGTTTCCTGTTCTCTTGCACAACAGGTAAAAAGTTAAACAAGCAGCAACACTTACCGACTGCCTGCAGACCAGTCCCTGGATGTTAGAATCACCTTTTTTGGTTGAATAGAGAAGAGAGTGTTGACAGCATGCCAAGCTAGGAATAATGTCACTACAGAAGTAGGATCAAAATCCAACTTTGTGGAGGGCACCATCATCAACATCAACACACCTGTTGGTGATGTGTTGATTACTTTAAGGTAGTTACTGCAGGTCATAATAATTTACCTTCATAGCAGTCCCCTTTAATAGAAAAAAATAGGTATTATAACAAACTAATATGAATAGTTTATTTTAGTTGGGCTTTCTGCTTGTTTTCAGTATGGCTTTCAGCTGTGATTAAAATTTAAGCACATGTTGGCATGGTTGAGGATTTCTCTGCAATTTAATGTAAATACATCATAACCAAAAGAAAATGTATTCTGCTTCTTTCAGCTACTTTAATAGGAAAGCACAGAAATAGATCGGGGAGGGGGAGTGCTGCCTAAAGTGAGCTCCATGCAGTTTAAAACCTCCATTCTTCTGGAGCATTCTGTGACATGACATGTAAAATAAAAATAAACTTATTTCCTGTTTAAGCTAGACTAATTTTCCTCAGAATATTTTAGAGCTCATAATGATCTGTGCATCTTTTAAAGAACAGTTTCCTATTTGTAAGTCTGACTGTGGTTTTAACACCTTCTATTAACGTGAGAACAGGAAACAGAGCTGCAGGGTGCCTGCTTACAACGAGAGCTTTCAACTGAATTTGTTTGTTACAGCAAACAAATACAGTTGCTACAGCAAGGAGCACAGCTAGCCAAGATTTTGAACCAGCAATCTACTAAATATGATTTAGGTCAACGATTTTATAGAAACTGCTATTCTTTACCATGACTGCTTTTTTGGAAATCATGTTGATGTAAGTTTTTATTACTAAAGTTTTTTTTTGTTTTTGTTTTTTTACAGTTTTAGAGTAAAAATATTATGTGGTTAAATCAGATCCAATGGTTGAGTATTGAAAATGTTTTTAAGATGTCTGTCAGGTAATAATATTCAGGTGATACTCTACAGAGCATTTTGAATCATTGGTTATCTATAAAAACAAGTTTTTTTGTTGTTGTTGTTGTTTTAAAGGAGGTATTTAATGTTTGACTGTATGTCAAACAATCAAATTTTGGGGCAAAAGTGGCATTTGAGGAAGAAGTTTGCCCGGCACCGGGAGGGTGGCGGGCAAACGGGTCGGCTCCGATCAGAGGGCCCGTTGGCACCAATGTATGGCAGGTTCACTTCTGTCAGTGAGCCCAGGGCAGCTGTGTGAAATGGAGAATGACTGAATGTAGTATAAAGTGCTTTGATCAATTCCTATGACTTCAAAAAGCACTATATAAGTAAAGGCCCTTTACCATTTGTCCTCTGTAATATAAAAGGTCACTGGCTCATATGTTTTTAACTCTGGTGCTTAGAAAAAAAATTCAAACAGTAACACTAATTTCAGGTTTATCTCTTATTATAATCTACATGTTGTTCCAGGCAGTGACTTTTTTTTTCTATAAAACTAAAGAGCAGCTCAGAACATCTTCCTTCTCTGTGTCTCAGGTCTAGTCTGAGGAGCAGCAGAGGATGAAGATAATCTTCTCTCACAGAGGCTCTTCAGTGGTTCCCTCTGCTGTCTGAGGGGCTCCTTCATCTCCTTCTAGGCCTCTGCCTTTATGGTACGTAACATACATATAGGTTTTAGAATTAGTGGATTCTATTGCATCAGGATTTTTGTTAAACATAATTAGATTTCTGCTAACATTAAATTATAATAGATTTGATGTGATATAAGTATGAATAAAATGCAGGTAATGGTTTTCCTAAAACATGTGGTTATAACATACATGATTAGTATTTAGAGTATAATACTCTGATATGTTGACACTGTCAGTGATGGTAAATGGAGACAGATCAGGTTATAAAACCTGATGGTTGTTCTTTGGACGATCTTAAAGCAGAAATGAACTCTGAGCAAAGGTGATGAACTCAACCTGAAGGCAGTCTGTGTAATGTGACGGCCTAGAAACTCTAACCTAGATCTTATATCTTCATCTGTCTTCAAGCATTTTATGTACATTATAGATATTCTACAAGCTGAGTGATCAGATGTTTTCTGTCTGAATAATTATAGCTATTGTTACTAATTAAAGTTTGCAGATAACAACTAATATTCTTGAAATTAGTTTGTTTTCCAGTTATTATATCTTCAGGTTTATTAAAATAAATAATAATTCTCTATAATGATTACAGACTGTTGTTTATAATGTGTTTCAGATGTGGAGGCTTCAGGAGGAAAACAAGTCATTGATAGAAAAGTTGGAGACTCAGTGGAGCTTTCATCAAATTTACCAACTGAAGGAGTCAGCAGTGCATCATGGAAATATGGAAACTCAGTAGTTGCATATCATGATTCAGGTGTTACTGCAAACAATCCATTTCGGGGCAGAGTGGAGTTCAATGATGTGAGCTTTAGTTTAACAGTGAGAGAACTGACCCTTCAAGATTCTGGAGATTTCAGTTTCCTCTCAGAGGCCAATGGCCAACAAAGACCTACAGTCATCATCACTCTGCAGGTTCATGGTAAGAAGATGGTTTGATCACAACCTTTCAAAGAAATATAAAAACATTACTGGTATGTTTTTAACCCATTTATGCAGTTTATTCAGAAACTGACCATGTTTGACAAAACATCATAACAAGATGTGTAATTTTTATTACTGTCCAATCCTAAAGCTGATTATTTTCATACAGCAGCTGTTTAATGTGAGAAAAACAAGCTAAAAACAATGTTTTCAGTTATTAACCTTTGGATCACTTTGAATTGTATTTAAATTACCTTAAATGAAAAATGGTAATAGTTTCAGTAGAGTGAATTATTTTCATTCACCAAAATAGCAACAAACTGTAACCCTAACATCATTTATCGTTTCTAGTGATTTTATACTGATGTTTTCATTCTGGTTGCTTCATTTATTATGAGGTTTAAATTTGCTCCCTGAAAACCAGGATGACTGAGTTTGAGTAGAAAAACTGTAATAAAGTTGATCAGTTCATAGTCTGAGCTTTACTTGGTTGATTGTGTCATTTCCTTTATACAGACTAATGCTGTAGTTGAGCCGTCACTCTCCTTCTCCCTCTGTTCTCACATCAGAGCCAATATCTACGAAGCCCAAACTGGTTTATAACATCAGTGAGCCTGACTTAACTGGATCCTGCACAGTTTATCTGGAATGCAGAGCAGCTCCTCACAGAAACATCAGCTACATCCTGACTGTAGGAAACCAACCACATGAAGGCCCCAAGCTGCATTACCACATCACACCACAAGATGGAGACACAACAGTCACCTGCAATGCCTCTAATGCTGTCAGTGAGATGTCAGCATCAGAAACATTGAGGTGTAGAAACACTGACAGCCTCTCTAACAAAGGTATGTTCAGAAACATGAATCCTTGTGGTTCAATGAACACATTATGTTTGACCAGCTGGTGAATCAAGAGCCTGTTGGTAAATAACTATACATCAGTTTGATCAAGTATAGAATATGAAGTTCGGGACGGAATTAAAAATAATTAAGTCAACAACCAATGAGGATCTAAGAAGAAGGGATATAATGACAATGATTTAGATCTTAAATGTTGGATATAATGGAGGCTGCAGTAAAAGTTGAACTGAATGTAAACATGTGACTCCAGATGAAGGTCTGGCCCACTGTCGCCTAATGCTTTTAACCAGAGCTGTCAAATAACGAAGTACTAATACTTTGTTACTGTACTTAAATACAGTTGTTAGGTATCAATACTTTACTCTATTGCTTATTTTTCTTCCTACTTCTGACTTCTATTCATTACATTTTCACACAAGTATCTGTATTTTCTATTCCTTACATTTTTAAAACAAAAGTTCCTCGTTACTCATGGCTTTGGTTTAATGTTTATGAATATTTATTTCACTTCATGTGCGCCATCCAATGCAGATCATTGGCTCCATCCACATCTAGTGAAAACTAGTGTAATTGGATGAGTCATAGAACGCAAAAACTCATTGGTTAGCTGAAGGAAATCATCAGAAGCAAGCAGGTGTTCTTCAATCTGTAAACGTGAATTGTCTATGCCATGCTACAATGTAGGATTCAGAAAAAGATGTTGAAATGTCTGAAAGGTCGGACACAGGCGAGAGCTTATCGGGAGACGGAGAGTAACAAAGTAACAAATGTATGTACTTCTGACACCACTGGTTTTAACTCTCCCTCTACATTGTTGCAGATCCTGGCTCTTCTACCATCATCATGTGGTTTAGACTATTTTTTGGAGTTCTTGTTATTCTATTCTTGGTCTGGCTGCTTCACTTCACAAATTCAAAGGGTGAGATAAACTATTTGAAATTTGATCATTGGTTAAAATGAAGAAATAAGTTATTTGCTTTAAACATGTTTGCTATTTTCTTTCCACAGAAGTATGTTTTAAGTAAGTTTTACAATTTCAGTTGAAAATATATTCTTTCATAGAAATAACATTGTGTTGCTAATAAGCATCTTTATTCACTCCAGGCTCAAACATCCTGCAGCAGTCGACCAGGATGAGAGTCAGCAGCATCCCCACTCCTCACCTGCTGCTGGTCAGGTTTCTATCTTGCTTATTTTTAGTCTTTGTGATCAAGAACATGAAGAAAAGCTATAAACACTCATGAATGAGATGAGGAACAGTTTACTTCTTTTATATGACAGGTGATGCTTCAGAGTATGAACCCATGAGAGGCTCTACAGATGCTGAACAAGGTGCAGTATGAGCTGCTGAAAGATTTAAAACACTCTAAGATGAGATTAAAGATGCTGTATGTTTATTTTAGGGGAACCTTCAGAGGAATACGTCCTTCCTCAACAAGCTTCTATCAAGGATCAGGACAAGGTTGATGAGAACTAATAGACAGGAAGGTCGTCTTCGTGCAACTGATTCTGAGAAGTGATTAAAGGAAAATATATTGTGAGCTTCTCCTGCATTTAGCTTTTAGCTTCATGACAATTTTTTTCTATTCTATTTACTGTTTAATCAAATCAGGAGCAAATTCAGGAGTTTATACCTATTTGCATGTTTAATCTCTTTATTAGGAAAACTTTTATGTTATATTACAGTATTTTTTACATATTACTGTAGGCAATGCATGTTGGCAGATTATATTTTGTGAGAGAAGGGAGATTAACTGTGGAAAAATCTGAGGGGAAGAGTAATTCATCAAATTAAGAAAAGGTAATGATTCCTAGCTTTATTAAAAACTTTACAATTAACAGCCGTTATGCTAACAAATGCAATAAGCTAAGGTTACTTTTGCAGATTAATATTTTGTTGTTTTACAAACCTGAAAATCTTGCAGTTTTTTAAAGTTACATCTGAATGGGCTCCTCAGCTGTATCTGCCTGTTGCTCTGCATCTACAGTCTATGGAAACCTTCTGTATGGCTTCTTTTGCTTTTAGTAAACTTTGTTTAAACCCAAAAAGTATTTGAATTCTTTTCTTTAGTTCCTATTTCCCATGTGAAAAAAATGGGTCACAATCAACTTTACTGTGCTGCTGAACAACTACATGCTCTCCTGTCAGTCTAGATTATTCACCTGTTTTTTTATTAATCAGAAACTGGTTCTTTTATACAGCGATAACTCAGGAAAATAATTTGATTTCCATAATGTTCAAGTTTCAACAACTGGTTGATTTGTTATACAAGTCAATCATTCTCAGAGCATGTTATTTCTATAATCAACCCTTATAATGTTTGTGTCTTAGGCCAGTTCAGGTCCAATGGGTTGAAACTTTTTAAGGGAGTTTGGAAAATGGGCTGCAAACACTATGCCATGTTGGGGGAGTGTTGAGCTCCTTTGGAACAGATCGCAATTAAAAGGTATTGTGGATGATTTTCTCTAATATTTTAAAAGACATGCCATTTCCACTTAAACAAAAGATGGGTGTGTAAGGACATGCACGAGTCCATTTTCAAAGAACCGTGGTGAGAAAGGTGAGCTTCAATGACTGTCTGATACTGTGACTCACCACAGATATTTGCCTGAAAGTGTGCATGCACAGAAAAAAGGTAGCTGACGGGACGAGCACATAGGATGGCCTTACCTGAACATATCACCAGAATGATTGACAATTAGGCGGACCAATTATTCAAATGATCCACCTGGAAATAAAAGATCATCCCCTTTACCTTTAAGGATCTTTTGTACTTGTGAAGGACTGAAAGTTTAAAACCTTTAAATTAATTGTCATTGCTCATTGTTTATTACTGTTTATCTTCCTCAGACTGGTAATATAGTTTTTGTTTGTTTCGAATATTAGTGTAATTTTAATTTAAAAATTTGTATTTGGTGTTGGTCTTCATTCACCTTCCAGGCTCCATTACCAACCAATCTTCTGATGCTACTAACCGTTGATAACAATGTGAAGCATTAACCTGACATAACACTTTATTCTGCTGCCTTGACTGCCTGTCACTTTTTTGAAACATCAGAATCTGACCTAGCATGGATTCAGACAGGTAGGACTGATTTGAAGCACTTTACAGAGAATTTTATGTTTTTTGTTGTTGGCATTCATGTAAAGACTGGTGTGGTACTCTAGTATACATTTGATTGGTTTTTGGTATTTGTCTATTTTGAATACTACATTGAAGTAACTACCAGCCGCCACTGCAGCTGGAATAGTGTTAAAACACTCTCCTCATTGGTACATAAACATTATGGAAGCCTGTATAAAAGGAAAATCCTGAGCACAGGGTAACCAACTCAGCAACTTTTTCACCATATCTTGCTACTTTTCAGGCTTTTTTATTTTTAACAACCAGCTGTTCTGTTGAAGGCTTTTGTGACAACACATGCACCAATAGCTCAGAGTTACTGTTTTCTGTGAGTAGTGAGTGAGCAGACCCTTTCCTCTTCAAAACACTGCAGCTGCAGATCTGATGCGATGCTTATGTCATATTTTTCGAATATGTACATTTAAATAAACAGTTGATGCACAACCACTGAACCCAAGGCTAGAGACATAGTTACAAAAATTACAAAAAAAAACATGCCATAAAAAACAGAGTCCTGTAAAAGTTTTTTTTTTTAATTTACATTACAAATGTTGGTTTTCTGCTCATATTTTTTAACAAAAACATTTAGTCCTTAAACAAATGCTAATGTTTAAAAATAAAGTATTTAGTCAAAAGATGTTCATTGATGCCATAAAATTATCAATCCAAAGGATAAATTTTACCTAAACAAGCCTGGAAAAGGAACACCCACCCAACTGAAGAAATCTGAGACCTTAATAAGAAATAAACAGGAAGACATCAATAATAAATTTTGAAATGAACGCTGAAACCCAGTGAACACTTGCTTTTTATCATGATGCACAAATATTGTGCAGTTCGACTTTGTATTCATAGCTAAGTAGATTTCCTAACTGTGTGGATTCTCATGTGTGTGTTTAAAGCTGATTTATGCCTAAAGCTCTGTCCACATATACCACAACAAAAAGGTTTCTGTCCTGTGTGGATTCTCATGTGTGTGTTTAAAGTTGACTTCTGGGTAAAATTGTGTCCACATAGATTACAACAAAACCTTTTCTGTCCTGTGTGGGTTACCTTGTGTGTATTTACAGCAGATATATGGCGAAAACTTTTTTCAAATGATCACAACAGAAAGGTTTCTGTCCTGTATGGTTTCTCATGTGTTGCTTTATGGTTTTGTTTAATTTTGAAGAATAGATGTTTAAATATTTAGGTCTGTGCATGTTTGTAACCAGAATAAACATTTTCATAAAGATATAACAAACATGGTTTTAAGTGGACAGCAAAAACAAGTACAGATTCATACATAAAGACTTTTTTTTTTACACATTCTTTTTTTTAATAAGAACATACTTATCAGATTATGTAATTGTTTAAAAAAAAACTTACATGAACAGTTAATCAAAAGAGCATTTTTTCCCCTCTCACTGTCCCCCTCGTTCCCTTCTTAAACCCTTAAAAGAAAAACTAAAAGTCACATTATAGACACAACCCACTCATTTTAAGGCATTTCCATATATCGGAAAATATAGCTTTTAGTGATTTAGAAGAAAATATTCACAATTCTTCTTCTATTTCTAATCTTCTCAGGTAAAAACAAATTGTATGAATGCTCCAGACTATTTCCACCTTTTTAACACAGTAAAATAAGTTTTGTTTATTCACAAATATTCTCTGAATAGATCGAGCATTGTAGGGTAAGCAGTCCTCAATACAGGGAATAAAAAAGACAATAATAATTCACGTGATTATAAAATTGTGCTCTGGAAGTTTCAGATCAAAAACATGCACATCTCAAATATGTGAAGACAGGTGTAGCTAAACTAAAAATAAAAAAAATAAACAATGTTTTGTTTGAACAATAAGAATTTTATGAATACA